GGCTGACGTATGCTGCGTACTTTACAAATGGCATGCTCCGATTGTAGTAGATTATGATACAGCAAGACGTACTTCGAGTAAATCTTATTATATTATCATTTGAATCTGACAGAACCGCGAAACTTCGGAAACCATTAAACGCGACACGGTCCATTTATGTACTATAATATAGGTGAAATGTACTAAAAGCGCGCGTTTAGAGTTTGTGCAACGTTTAGGGAACCGCATAATAAAATAATACAAACATGTTACAGCCATTAGTTCAATTATTGCGGGTGTACGTTATACGGTGCGCGCAATCTGCCACGCGTAATCTTGTTGGGAAAAAAAAATGTTTTTTCCTCCTCCCCGACAGGACCTTCGACTTTTTACACGTCGTAAACACGGAAAATACTCAAGACAGCTGCCTGTCAGTGGGGAACGGTGCGCGTCTAACTACCGCCTCCGCGCAGGCCTATGCCGTCGTATCTATCCAAAAAGGGAGACTCGGGGCCGGGGTCAAAAGAATCGGCATCGTCGTCACGTGTTAATCATTTAAACGGGCTCTCGCAAGTCGGTCTACACACGCGTATTTCACTTTTAAGTACATTCCGTTACTTCTCTCACTCGTCGCGCGCGCATGCGTGTTCGATATTTTTATTTTTTTATTTATTTCTTTCTTTCCGACGAGATTTTTTCGTGGTTTTAATGCTGCACATCCTGCGGTTAATCGAGGCTGAGAGAAAATGCCTCCAAAAATAGAATAACGCGCGCGCACGCATGGACGACGTTGACGCGCGGATGCCCGTCGCCGCGTTAAACGAATGTCAGGGTGCATACACTTTATGACGTTCGTGTAAATGGAATCCGTAAGGTGGATGGAAACCGCAAGAGAGCATTATCCAAACTGGGAAATTGTTGATATTGTTCACAATATATTTACGCCGCGTGCACGGTGCTGCGTGATGAATGCGTATTTGAATACGGTCTTATATACATGACTCGTGTGCATACGTATGTGTAGTGCATGCTAGTTTAATAATAATATAATGCTCGCGCGATAACAATAAACGGTTCCCTAATATGCGCATGGGACGTAGAATAATGCCAAATGTGTGCGAGGAGTGCTTAGCGTTGTAAAACGAGATCGTTCGAAAACTCTTTGGTTTTAAATTTAAACGGAAAATGAAAAACATCAAGTACGCGTGCTGGAATAAAACCTATTACGGGAAATAGTGCGGCGAGGAAGAAAAATAAAGAAAAGTGTTCGCGTTCGATGAGTGTTTTATAAATTTTATAATATAATGTTTTCCGATTCAATTCAATATTTCGAAATCGTAAGCACTGCAAATGCGTCTTAATAACATGTAAAAGCTTAGCGCGGACAATCGAAGAACGTACCGTTCGTTTAATGTCCGTTTAACAAATGTATTGAAATTATGTTCACTCTGCACAAGAGTTTAGGCACAATTATGTTTATAAAAGCAACAACGATAATTGTACAAATGCAGACACGGTCGAAACGGAAGTGCGTAACTTATTTCAAACCCGTATATACAATATAGTACAAACTGTTATACTACAAATATAAATAACAAATTAGCGTAATATCTACATATTACATACGCATAGTATTATAAAAAAAATTGATTTCCGTACCCAATATAGATCGATTTTATATTAGACATAATTCTGGATTTAATTTTTAATAACTTTTTTTTTCCAACAAGTATATTTGTTGATGCAATAAGTTGCACGATAAAATAAGTAATTCGACGGTCACACTTTATATGTATGACTTTATAATTTGATACTATTATATTAGGTGTAACCACTGGGTCACTTATTTTCTCGTGTAAACTCTGTGTCGTCATATTTCAGCAAACATTTTTATTGTAAACATTTTCGTGGATTGTATATTTGTCTTTGGATATAAAAATAAATCTGATACTATATCTGTCTAGTAAAAATGTTTCATTTAGGATGATTTCGTACTTTAAAAGGTCTAAACAATTTTACAGTCTTATAGATATTAAATTAAATTAAATTTAATTTAATTTTACAATTTTTGTACCTCTAACTAGTTTTAAATTCATACTTGAATAAAACCATTTACAGGTACGATATATTGATGTTTTATTTTAATAATATATAATAAACATAAATGTGAAAACAATGAATATTTATATTAATATTTTTGATACACGGAGAATAATATAACATTATAATATGTTTGTAGTTGACATTTGTTTTTCGGATCATCGTCTTATAATATATTAACATTTAAAAAAAGACTTCTTTATTAAATATGTTGTTAAATAGCCGTGAGACTATAGTAATAATTATTACACATTGAATATTAACTATTTACGCAGTTGAACATTTACTTTACGTTAAAAGTATTGATTTCGTTTTTGCTATTATTGTGCAAAGAAAATAATAACATTGACGCCGTTCAATAATAACTTAGAATACGTTACTACATACATTGTTGTTTCAACTCGAAAAACGGATATAAAACTTATCAACATCGCAAAGTTCAAAAAACAGACTGTGTCCAATATTTATGTACGCATGAAATAAGCATTCTGAAGAATATTGTAAAGAGTTTGGGTACCGATCGCATCCGGTGAAACATATCATTCCCTAGACGCCGGTCGCCTTATAAAATATGATTTGTAACTTCGATTCGGAACGTTTGCGGAGAAAGAGGAAAACAACTATGAACACGTATACCGAGATCAACCAAATCATTTCTACGGAGTTTTCGCGAAAACACGTTTAAATAATTGATAGCTTAAAACTGTTGGAACGTTCGCTAAATTATTATTCTCATAAACACGTTAGAGAATCTGTGCACTCCATAAATCACAATCGATTAAGGTGAATCAAAGCATTCGAAAACCGACCGGAACAGCATTTTAACTCTCCCAACGCTGATGTGGAAACTAGATGCGACGGACAAGTCACAAGGATGTTCGTACCGTTAATCGTTCGAAACAAAATGTTTGGAAAAAAATAAATAATCGATAAAAATCGATTAAACCCAATAAAATGTGGTACAATCTGCAGCAAATACTGTTGAAATAATTTCACGACGATGGTGTGTGCACAGATGCTCGTGATGCAATTAGAATAACGAATTAACTTAAAGGAATCCGTGCGTTAAGACCGTATGTAATAAGTAGGGTTCGGGACTTATTGTACAAACTTTTAGGAAATATGCATTTAAAATAACTGAAATATGCGCAAATATATGCAACTGAATATTTTTTTAATGAAAATTATAAATTTTGATTTTGATTTTAATTTAGATAAATTTATTTTAATTAGTACTTTTTGACAACAATCACACTTTATATATTATATTACTGTATAATTAATTTTCTTCTACAATGAAAAACACTAACTGAATACTTATTTTTCTTTTACACTCTCTAAACGATTTACGATAAACGATAGTAAACGTAGGAACAAGGTATTTCCTTTGTTGCCCTGTCTCGATCGTTCTATGATAACGTATATCGACCGACGCATGAAAAGAAAATAAATAAATAATGTTAACCTTTAAAATAAATTTACGTAACATCAAACAAAATCTACATAAATATGCTACATTAAATTGCCAAAACTTGCCAACTATGAAATTCAAATTTTTGTATTTTAGTCCGTTATGACTAAAAACAAATTGATATCTTACTTAGACTATTCTACAATCGTTATTAAACAATATGCAAATGCATGAAGTCCTGAACCCTAGTAATAAGTAACCATACATGCATATGGTAATGTTGCACGGCATTGCGCGTATTATGGAAACCAACGCATTATTCCGTACTCACCGATGAGCGTAATGCGTTTGGGCGAATCACCTTTTTTCCGGAATAAAAAAAAAAAAAAAAAAAAAAAAAAAAATGTGTTGTTAAAATAAAAAAAAAAGGTTGGTTTCCATTTGCATCCACATTATTTTTGATTAAAATTATGTCTATTATTCTCTAATATTTTAGCCAGTGTTGTAGGATCACGATTTGCCCGTATCTGTTGATTAAATTCTGGTTGCGTTCTTTTCGGCTAGGGAAAAACGCTAGTTCAAGTGTCCGACAGCACTCGCAGTTTATAACAGTCGATAACTTAATATTGTAACTTTGATTGCGATTAATAAAGATACGTAAATATACGTATATACTTATATTGTTATATTGTGTATCATAATTTATCACTCATTATTATGATTAGACTCATTGAGTGAGACAGACACACAAATTAACGATATATTCGTATCAATAAGACTATATTTTTAGTAGCTTAATGTACGTCAAATAGTATCTATAATGTGTTTTATAGTTTTTGTGAATCTACCAAATTTTTAACATGTCTGAAAAAGAAACGTTTATTGAAAGTTTTCGAAGAAAACCTTTGATAATTAATGATAGTTCCAAATATTTTTAATTATTAAAATAATTAATTTGTTCTTTTATTTTTAATTTATCATTCGACAACGAATGACGATTTTATTATTTCATTTTTTGGAGGAAAATGGTCAAGAATTTTTTTTTTTTTTTTTTGAGGAAAATGGACTGTGAAGGAAAACGGTATCTCATTTTTGGAGGAAAAAATGGACTCGGAACAAACGAATAGGTTTTTATGGAAATTACGAGTACGGCAAACGTTGCCGATTTTACCTAGTGTCGCGTGGACAAATATTTGAAATCTCCTTAAAAAAAATGGACTCGGAACGTACAAAACCACTTTATACACATTGAGTAATTTTACCAATACATACGTATTGTCCACCGAGAAAAATGGACGGGGGACAATGGGGAGATAATATTACACCACTGACACTGTACGCCCGAGACGACGGCGATTGTGTCGCGATAAATCATTGTAATGCACCCTTTAAGAATGTTAAATAATAACAATAGTACGCAATACTGATAATAGAGATTCCTCGTCGCGTCCAAGTCGCACAGGGTGTGTGGAATAAAATGGAAAAGAAAAAAAAATCACACCCCACTTACCGTTCAGTTCCAAACACTCCAGTGACGGTTGTTTAAGGCCCGAGAGTGACGAGACTCTGTTCGAGTTTAGGGTCAAAACCTGTGGAAAAAATAATAACAATAATAGTAATACAAAAAATTATAATAAAAATAATATTATTATACGCGGCGGCGGCTATTGTTGTGTCCGTTGAAAAAAAAACAAAAATAAAAACATTATTAATGATGAAAATTTATCTGGATAGAGGTAATGGTGTACATGTCAAAACGCGCGCACATTATATCCTCCCACGGAGTCGATTGTCTTGTTTACCTGTAGATACGCCATGGACGACAGACAAAGGGAATCGACGCGGTTGCGATCGGCGCGCAAGACGACCACGTAGTCTAAGTCCCTGAGCACGTCCAAAGCGGTCAGATCCAAATCGTTGTGCGACACGTTTACGAGCGACAAGCATCGAAATTTGGTGATCACCTCGATGTCCGTGAGGTTCCTGGGAACGTTGAAACAGAACGATCGTTACGGCGTACCAGTAGCACGGGATTCGTTTCACATTCTGGGCACTGCGACACGCGGTTCTTTTTATTTGATTTCAAAAATGTTTAAGACATCGCCATAAGCGAAAATCAGGAGGAGGGGAGCTTAAGGGGACCGATTCCTTCCCCCCAAAAGTGTCAAGTACATGTTTTGACTCTCCTCCCCTCCCTGGCAATCCAATTTTAACAATAACAAAAATGCCTAATTGTATTATTATAATTAATAATATCGTGTGATTTTTCGAACTACACTAATCAGGATAAGTTGAGTGTATTAAATTTAAGTTTGTCCAGTTTATCAGTAAACTGAGCTACAACTTTCAAATGTTCTTGTTGACTTGGATATTTTATATTAAATACCTATTTCAGATTTTATTTTTCGTTACTTTATAATTTAGTGTTAAGCATTTCAATTCAATCATTATTTGTAAGTTTTGTTTTTATTATAAGTTATAATAATAATAGTTATTTATAGCAATAGCAATAATAAATAGTTTTTATAATTATTAAATTATAGTTAAAAAGTTTTTTAAAATTTTTAACGTAAATAAACCAGCTTCAGTGGACACATATTAGTACAAAAATCACAGACAATACTGACCCGGACTACTAATATTTTTATTATTTAATTTTTTTTAACTGTTTTGAAGAAAACATTTTTTTTATGCAATTCAAAAGTTTAAATCAATATTTGCAAGCCACATTGTAAAGTCCAATTGATACGGACAACTCAGCACTCTTCCTTATAATTAGGTACTCCAAATTTCAGCCACTGGTCATCACGCATTCGACAGTTGTAAACGATGTCCGTTAATTTGTTATTTTTTTGTTTGAAATAATCCATAACAGTAAATGCGTTTCGCGTACAAGCAATATCAGTTCACACGGATAATTTGTGGAAAAAACAGTTTACTAACGGCTTCGCAGGAATAAATTTAACCATTCAAACCATAGCTGGTGTATTTTGTTTTGTTCCGCGTTGATTTTCATTATTAAAATTATTATTTATTTACGATTTCAGTAAATTTCCAGGCCAGTTTTTAAACGACATTGTACATTGTCGAGTAAGAAAACAGAGAAGGTATTACCATTGATGAGAGGATTCGGACGACTTGGATAATTGAACGTGGAATCTTTTGTAATGATTTCCGATCAGTTTTTATTCGTTATACGTTATTACTTATTATAAAAAATAAAACCGCGTAGGTTCCTACTATACAACAATAACATAATATTACGGACGGCCGCCATTATCCGCAATTTATTAATACTGTATTGAACGCGAATCGTTCGTCTGTTTTACCTGTGATCGACATCGATTTGAATATAAGCGTATAACAATCCGCATCCTACTTGGCCGATGCGTGACAAGCACTTTCCGGCTTCGTCGGCAGTTAACACGTTGTCGGTCAACGCGTCTTCTTCCAAAATGGATCTCGACCATTGATACTGTTTATAATACGATTAGAATATCACATTTGTTACGCTGAGCGCATAACCAAGTCGGTCGTTTAACTGAATGCCCATAGCAAACGGTTAAAGAATTTTTTATTAATTTATGCCACTTCACTATCCGCCTAGTAATTTAAAACAAAATATCTACGAGTACTGCGAGTTGAAAAACGAAACATACATTTTATAATCCTCAAAACTATAAAATATTTTCTTGATAATCCCACAAAAAATAAAATAATTACTTATTGTATATTATTTTTACATTTTTGGTTTTCTGTAACTTGAAGAATTCGGGCAACAAAACGTTTACCTTTAATTTTCAAAAATGAAACCCTACGAGCGTTTCATTTTTACGCTTTTGGCCTGCGAGTATTTTACTATACCAGAATTTATATTAAAATCGGAATGACTACGAACAATTAATACGACTTATTGAAAAATATAGTCTAAAATATTATATAAAAAATTTCATTGTTTACTACTGATCTAGTAGGATGGTAAAATTGCATAAAAAGGATACTATTCGACTATTTTACATGTACATCATATCATTAACACGAACTTTTTTATTCCTGTCCTCGTAGGCTTCGAATCCTTCTTCACCTTCCGCAAAATATTCGTATTTGCCGTCAGATTCGCCCTCGTAGTTATAATTATCCAACACGTCTTGGTATGTTACGTTCGGATTAAATTCGCTCTGAATACCGTCGTCACTTTTATAATTTTCACTGTCCGACATCTTTTTTCGGTCGAATGCGGTCGAATTGTTCAATTGAAACAGTTTTTTTCTGTGAAAAGAAATCAAATTTATGGATAAATAATTGTTTTTTCCCTTAACGCATATTGTACAATGAACATATCGCGAGAGATCAACTGAAACGTATTGCATACAAGAGTGCGTGATGGATTTTACTGTACTCACATTTTTATTGCTTATGAAGGTGGTATAGCATTATAGCAAATAAGTAATATCTACAAGAGGTGAATCGCACAATGATCTCGAGAAAAAGTACGTAACGTGTAAATAATATTATTATACGGTACAGAGACGGTAAAAATAACGACTACAGAACGTTACGAACGGCTTATGTAGAATTATGTTTTTCTCCCGTAGTTACAGAAAAAGTAATTAAATTCTGTGTAACATTTGGTTCGTCGACACAATCAATTAAAATCTTCCATAAGTCTGGTTAGAAACCATATTTTTATTTTTCAGTTTTTATCGTCATGCACGGCAAGCTACCGAAATAGACACGAAATATGACGAAGGGATGTAGGTCGTCGGTCTTGTGTTCAACCCTTTCCTGGATACCGGTTGATGTTGAGGGGAAACGATTTCGAGAATAGGGAGTTGTATATTTAAAATTTATTACCGGAGAATTATGAAGAAGTACGAAGAAACACGATACGTGACGGTGTCGTGTACTAAAAAATATGACGATTTTCCATATTATACAACCCATGCCAGATGCACTCCTTCACGTTCACGAGTGCGTGTCGTCTAGTTATGGATTTTTTTTTTTAATTGTAACTCTTACCCCGCTCGCGATGATCAAGATGTGAACGTTTCTTTTAAGAGTGACTAATAATATATATTCGTCGAAATTACTGTTCTGTTTTATTGCCAACAAAATGTCACACGATTTCACCGCACGAATAATTTTTACTTGTATATTTGACGAACTAATGACACGCGACTTGATCCCGTCGTTTTCGACGCACGCGTATACGTGTTTATCCGACGCAAACAGCGTTGTTAACGTGTACCTAATTACTATCGCTAAGTGCATCACGAGATTTTATCGATGGCAATGTGATCGAATTCGAAAAGTGTCGATTTAACGACGTAAAGAGTAACTGTACTCAACAATATTAAATTTTTTCATTTCGATTCACAGTACGTACGTTTTTTAGTGATTAATAATCCATTTGATTAGTGAAAAATTCAAAATATAGCATTTCTGTTGTGCTTGCAATCGCGTAAAAGCAATTGAAAAGTTAATAAATGTTGAAATTAAACGGGTTCACGTACAACACATTAAAACGTATTAGCGTATACCTAAATGTATATAAATATACATGTTATAAAACACCACACACTAAAACGTGAGCCATTTGTTGAACAATCGATTATTTTCCTTTTTCCATTTGATATATTATCATGTTTCGCATCATTATTGTTATATATTATTTATTATTATAATATTATAATATTATACCGCAATTAAACAACAGTAATGATATTTTTTACAGTCCAAATGAATACAAACGGTATAAGCTGCGCAAAATGCATTTACAATAGTACGCGTTCGCAAGACAACAGTAAAATAGTACACCCATTACGTATGTACAGAAATTATATTATTATTGACAAGCCCGGCTGTATGATCATTTTATTATTATTATTTCTTGTTGCGTTGAAAATAAAATCGAAGAACCTTTTTTCTTTCTTCTTTTTTTTATGGATGTCAATGATGCGCGTCGCGTGTGCGTGTGTAAGGTGAGAGATAATTGGATTTTAGATTTGCAGTAAAAATTGTTTTACACTGCAACGCGAATAGAATGGATATTCGCATGAAATCGCTGTCTAGACGCAAACGACTCGGGAGCGCTTCAATAGTAAATCACATGGCATTCGGACAATCAAAATCGTGCGGAATAACGATAAAAAAATGAACGCGAAACGAGTAGAGAAGAAACCCGACGGTTGGCCCGAGAAAACGACGCGAGAGACGGGATAGAAGAAAAAAATTGTGTACACACATTTAAATTAAGATTTAATTTCAGATAGCGCGTACGTACGCGTTGCGATGTGTGTCCGGTACGCGCGAATGGCACGGCCCACAAACATGACTCGGCTGGATTTTGGGTCGGAAAACTACGCGGCGCACCGTAATAAATGTGTAACAACGATACGTGTGCGATCCGTATGCATCATACACGTCCGATTTCCATTGTATGGGAAAAAAAATAAATAAAAATATATCAAAACGATACGATCGATCGCATTATTATTATATACATCACGACGGATACGCGAGGCCAATAACGGTCGAATATAATTTATAATAAAGAAATATTATTGTACCGATAAGACGCGGTATTACGACGTACGTATAGGTGTACATAGGTGCGCGCGGGATACGTCCACATCGTTTCGTTCATTGTATGTTAAAACGTTTTTTTTTAGGCTTTATAAACGGTGGACGTTATCATCGTCGTCGTCGTCGTCGTCGTCGTTCAGTGTCGACTTTGCGTAGACGCACAGCAGAGCAGAGCAGTGGTGGGGTAGTGTTACGGCTCCCACGAACGTTTCTTGACATCGTTGCGTGTGTTTCGAAGAAACGAGTTCAACGCGTAACGTTATAATATTTCATTCATATTATAGTAGAAAATTAAAATAGAAAATAAAAAAAATAAATAAAAAACGTTAAATTAACATACCCCGATATCGCTATTCATTATTTGGCAGGTTGCTCCGTTTCGGATTTTAATAATTTATTACGATAATTATGACCGAATAACGATTTAAGCGTATTTACTATCCAAGAAACTAGTTTCCAAGAACGGAGACCATTATTATTATTATTATTATTATTATATGTGTTCTCGAACCAACTCGACCGATTATTGTACAAATACGACGTACGTTTTTAATTATTATCCCGTAGCCGAAACGTAAATGAGTAGCAGTGGATGTGTCTTTTTACTTTATTTTAAATTAAACGTTTACAATATTTATGAACCGTATAATTTATTAGACAAGTATAATTTATAAACGATATGGACTAATATGGATGATCGAGAATAATTTTTTCTCAGTATGCGTAACGCGAAAGTTTGAGTTCCAGAAATTCTTACAATCTTAGTCACCGAACGTTTTCGAATAAAAAATGATATCTATATTAATTGTTTTTCATTTCAATTTAACTAACGCAACCGATGCTTGACGGCTTTTCAAATAACAGTAATATACGTTCTGATAGCTAGCATATAATTTACTTACATTGTTATACGCAAACACGGTAAACATGAATTACACTGTTGGTGTTTTAGGTAAAAAAAAAAAGAAAAAAAGAAGTACGAAATATATAGATTGTTTTTTGTTATGGACATCGACATTTGATGAAAATAAATGTAAAGAATACTTTCGTTCGCAACAAACGAGTAATTCGTATTTTAGGCACGTACGGCTGTATGATAATGCATATCCATGTACTTCGTACACGTCATTAATTATAATTTGTCTAAACTTTTACATTTCACAAGAGAGTTTATTCGAATTCGAAATGAAATATTGTTAGTTATCTTAATTAGTGTGTACACGTATACACGTGCGTGTCTATGTACATTTAGATTTTATATAATTATGGTACGTTAAGTAGACTTTAGGCTACTTGGTCTTGTTCGGTATTATATATTTAAATTTATAGCGTATGCATATATTACGTGTAATATCAAGATAGTAATGATTTATATATAGTATCAGTATAATAATGTATCGCAATGTATATTGTATAAATATCCATTTCTTTATTTAGAAGCCGATTAATTGATTCCAATCGGGTATAATTAAAACAAATTTAAATACGACGATAGACTTTTATAAAAATTAATTACACCTAAAAATCGTTAATGCACCACGTTACATGTACGCAAAATCCGACAAATAAGCGGAATTCTATTTTGGGGAGTATCTTAAATAAAATACATTGTTTTTACTTAAATTTAAAACCTTGTGCAGTAATCAGTAATACATATATTTTTATACAAATTTTATGCATTTTTTGATAACATTTTATTTTTCTTAAATTACTTTTAAAATTATAATTATTTTATTTATATTATAATTGTTAAATATTATGAATTAATATGCTCAATCAATGTTTGAAATTTGTGGAGATGGGCTGTATAATTTTTTAATATATATATTTAATTATGTTCTATTCATAATATATTATTAGATTTTGGAACGTAACAATTAGATAAGGAATTTATCAGTTCGTGATTACGTTAAACAATTTATTAATTCTATACAATAAATTAAAAATAAACTGTCTAGCAAGTAACAAAAAAAAAAAATTAATACATCACATCATTTAATATATCACATACATTGGTTACATAACTCAAATATTACATAATAACAAAATAACGATATTTTGTTAACATTGAAAAGTAATCATATAATAATAATAATAAGTGATAATACAACAATGTATTTTACTGCGTAGTGAATTAATTAGATTTTTTTTTTTTTTTTTTTGAAGAGGGTCATAAACAATGTAAGGAGAAAAAAGACTCTCAGACCCTCTTTTTTATGGCTAACCATTCGTAGGCAAGAACGGAAAAATATAAGGGTTATTGGTCTAGACCCTATGGACTCTCTCCCATCTGGATATGTGCCCGCGTTAAACGTTAAAAATCATCTTAATATTACCATATCGTGGAGAGTTTATTCAACAAAACATGTATTGTCATATGTGGGGTGGTTACGACTAGTCTATGTTATAAACCACAAGTTGATGTGTTATGAAATGAAAACAACCGCAAAACCATTGACGAGTTTATAAAATAGCATTAAGTAATCCACCACTATATTATAATATGCTTTTAAGCTCAAAACCCGCAGGATAAACCGAAAATGTTTGGGATGGTAATTTTTTGTAGCATTACATTTTACGAACTGTACACAAGTATAATAAATAATAAAGTCTCCATAAAAGAATCCATAAAAGAGTGTCTCACAAAGATATACTACCCGTTGCATCTCCTGAGATAATATGTATAATGGAATTCATATTTTAATTATATGTTTATATTTCAATAAAAAATTTAGAAAAAATACTTTTTATTTTGTTATATTTGAAAAACTTGAAGATGGCCATATTTTACAGAGTTATTTTCTATGGGTGATTTGATGTTTCAATTTTTTATTTTCGTAGACCTTATGATTTTTAACATTCATTTTACTTTAGAAAAAAATAGTGTACTTTCATCTTAACATTATATTGTTTTCAGTTCTGATACTATCTAATCCCTTTTTGTGCTAATTTCAAACATTCTATTTTTTCTATACACTAACAACCATGCTAAAAATCACAATGTTAATGAAAATGAAATGTCAAAATTTTTTTAAAAAATAAACTCCATGAAACTATATTTTAAATTTTTCGAAAAATAATATAATAAGTAATTTTTGTAATTTTTTTACCATAACTTAGAAATTTAATTTACATTTACGTATGAATATTTTTTTCCCTTAGAATGCCCGAGCACAGTAATCGTCCAAGGAGGTGGTCAAAACTATATATGTTATATTTGGTCAATATAAAAAAAACACATTGGAATGTCCATTATCAAATATATCCTGATTGAAAATCAATAAATATCAACAAATGTCTGAACTAGAACAGCTAAAAATACATTTTATCAATGATTGAATTTACAACGATATTCAACAGTATGTGGAAAAGGCTCGAAAAGTGCGTCAAATCGAAAAAATTAACACTGTTAAAACAAAAGTAGGCAACTATATCTGAATTTTCAGGTCAGTTTAACATTTATAAAATAAGGACTCTATTCTTAGTAAAAATGTATGTAAAACGACCGTCAACAGAGGAGACCTCTTTTCATGTACACGGGCCTGAACACGATGCGAGTCGTGAAAAAAACATAATTTTATTAAGTAATGAAGATAAAAATCAAGTTATTTTACTTATCTTAGAGGAAATCGCAATTGGTGCATCTGCATAGGACATTCTGTGCACTGTACACGGATAAAAATAGACTACATTATAAAATGTTTAATGTACATAAAATGTTGATTCAAAGAAGCGACCATTGTTTGACACTTTTTAAAAAAATGATAGACCATTTTTTTTCACTCGAGTCTTCTTGTTGGAAGCGTTTTAAATCTGTTTTCGGACCAGTTGGATATGAGAAGATTTTCGATAAACGTTTTTGAACAATAAACGTTTCAAAATTGATCGTGTATGATAAGTTTAAGTTAATTGATCGACGACCAATAGGCGTACGCGTGCACAAAAGAATAGGAAATTATTTAAATATATATAAGCGAAGAGCATAATAAAGCACGTGGCTGTCGACGTACAGATGCGCGTCCACTGCGTAATGTTCGTTAAAGTCCAGGACAGGGGTAAACTCAGCTCTCGATTATCTTTTTTATTGTAAACTCGGCCAGGAAACATCAGGTAATAAAATAAAATCGATTGTGAACTCGGCACCATAATTTTAGCCGATAAAATATGATAAACATGACAAAGTTTAATCTGACCCTGACGCGCAAGATCTCCAAGTTAACGGTATCCAATACTGGAATACGTATAACGTTAATAAGAATTCAATGCCTGCACTACCAAAATCGTTCGACGAATTACATGAGGTATTAGAAAGTATGCAAATAAATACAAATAGAAAATTAAATGTTTTTGTTGGTTTATAATAAACAGTTAATAATTTTTAGCTGTGATTGAAATTTTCGAAACGCTTTGTGCGTCAGAATATATATAAAGTGACAGTTATAAGGGGGGAGGGGTGATAGGTGGATCGCCACCCCTTGGGTTTTGGTTTTATTCAATTTAATATATTGCTGGCCCAACAATACCCATCTGCAAATTTTCGAACTCATGATCTGAGAGCAAAATATTTTTCCGTTTTTACCACGGATAATATATTATCATATTGTATATTATCATACACTATATTTCGGTGGCGCACGACCGATATAATTATAATTATAATTATTAATATTATTATTATAAGATACATTTTATAAACAATACATCTTTCATACTTTCATACTACTATTCTCTCATACTTGCTTGTTTACGAGCATGCTATAAGCCTGAAATCAAATAAGTATATCATTTGATAAAAAAAAAAAAAAAACATATATATTTATATATTACCAATTTCTCGTCCTTTCAAGTGAGGAGGATGAGATTTTGGTATATCATTCGAATTTGAAGGACCATAATTGTCTACATGCAAATCATCATCATAATGATTTTTTTAAATGATTGTTTAGGTCCTTTATTTTTATCTGAAAGTATAAATTAACATAATTTTATTATTATTATTATTATAATAAATTGAAATTTTTAAAAGATATATTTTGAGTACATAAACAAACATAATTAATAAACAAAGAATTTATGAACATTTAATAATATATAAACAAATAAGTGAATAACTATTAAACACATTATGAAATATTTTTAATTTTCAGTGAAAACTTAACTTTTTATTGACCTCAATAGATTTTCAGTACAAACAGACTTTTTTAATTTCAACGCGAAAATCTAATCGGAATAATTGACATGATTTTAGGTCACCCTAAGCTAAGAATTCAAACTACCATCAATCTACCTTTGGGTCCGATTTGCTTTGTTAGTCTGAAGGGTTTGATGGGTGGCATGACGCTTCAATATTGGAGAACTGTACTTGGAAAAAAAAAACTTCAAGATAATTCTCACGAAATTTAAAAACATTTACTACTCATCAAAAAGTAATAATTCTAAAAGTATTGGCCAAACAAACGTAATTTCCTATGTAATGGAAAATACATTGTTAAGGTGTAAAAAAAAAATAATTTAAAACAATGCAACATGTTATCAACCATTTATTTAATTCAATAATATTTCTCAAGTATTCAGCCGAATAGATCATTACAATTTTCTGCCCTTTCACTATTTCCTTTCATCAGATCCTTTGGTTCTTTTACCTCAGAAATGGTTCTAATCAATGCAAAATTAGTCCAAAAAGGTATACTGTTTCCCATAATATGATACAGTATGTTAATTAATTAGAAAGTCAGTCGCGATAACTCATAATCTACTACGAGTATTTGAATGGAGTTTTTTTAAGGTAGTATTTAAGTAATAGCCTAACTTTTTTTGATTACTTAAAAAAAAAATTCAAAAAGTATTCACATTTTTTCAAAATTTAAAGTTAACCATTTTTCAAAGCGATATAATTCAATATTTTTAATTAATTTTGCTCGATTCATCCAAATTCGGATATTCTAATAGTAAACGATTGGTTTTACCATTATATTTTAATATTACATCTTGCATACTGTTAATTAATACGACACTATGGAGGGCCCAGGAGGCAATCACTCATTTTCCATCCTGGACAGTCCAACTTTGGCTGTAACTATGATACGATCGTGTCACACGGATACCGCTATCTCACCCTTTATAGCCCTTTACCACCGTACGATCGGTTATCAACGCCTGCTTGATTAAAAGAATCAGTTCTGGAAAACAATGATGTATCACAAAGTGTTCGAGGACGGTGTACCGACCACCGCGAGCGATCGGCAAGCTTGTTTGTTTTTAGCCGTCTTCGTGGGCTTTTACTTTTATTTTTGCAGCCCTATCATTTGACATTTTTAATATTTTATTTGAATTTGTATTTTAATATTTGAGTGTGCTAAATAATTATTTTTATTCATATTATTATTATTATTATTATTATTATAATAAATAAAAAATATTAATATTTTTATTATTTCTTTAAAACGTTATAAAAGTGTGTGTGTGTGTGGTGTTATAATCACAATCAACATACAAGTAAAATTTGAATTTTGAAATCTCTGTGACAATCAAATTTTACCTTGACGACAATGTACCAAGCAACCACGAAGAAAAATATTGATAATATTAAACAATCATTAGGAAAATTGCTAGTCGAAAGTTTACATAAAGTTTCTGAACGGTATCGGTGTGATCCATTTCGGTACATGGGCCAGTGGTTGATAATTCAAGCCGACATAAGAGACGAAAATACACCACAAGAAAAATAGATGAATTTGAACTTGACGTGGAAATTATCTACATATATTTTAATTTCATAAATATTTAATATTGTGTAATTATATACTGAGTATATCAGATAAGTATACCAATTTAAATATCTCCTGAGACATTCAATGACAAACAAAACTTGAATTATAAATACATACGTCAAGCTCCGAGTCCGGTGAAAGTTTCTTCAGTATCATTCTTAGAATTGATTAGTATGCCAAACAAATCGTTCAGCAAACTCGAAGAGCAGAAGGTGATTATCATCTTTTTGCGGGTCATTTATCAGGGCTTGGATCCTATAGCATTAAAATTAATGAAATATGTGCAATAATATGATTTATAATATTAAAAACACGAAAAGTCAAATTTAACACATACAACGCATTATACAATCTTATATTGGAAATCCGTGAAATAAAATGTATGGCTTCCACAGCTTGTTTTATTAGTGTCCTTAAACAATATTGGAAAATGCTACAGAATCCGGGCCCTGCATTTATTGCGTACATCTGGAAGGGTAGTGATTTTTTTCCTCCCGTTTAACAAAAAAAAAAAAAAAAACGATAGCCTTATTCGTTTGCGCTCTCAGATGTTCGTACAGAAGGCTTCTGACGTGCTGAACATGGTCACGGAGCAAGAATTGCCGAAGCACACGGACGCTCTTCTCGCCGTCCTAGTGCAAGCGGTACGAGGCGACGAATCTTACGTAGGGCCGATCACCAACTTGATCGTGAAAAAGGTACGACGCACAGTTCCGGAACCGTGGAACCGTATTTGACTAGCCGAATTTATCTATTTGGATTTGTTTACGTCGTCAGGCCGTTCGCGACCCGGACAGCAGTGGTCTGTACGCGTGTCTGTGTTCGGACGCGGTCACGAAGGCGTCCAAGACGCGCTATTTCGCCGTGGTACACGACGTGTTCATAAAGAAAATGAAGACGTCGTGCCTGAGAGCGCTGAGAGATTTGCCCAAGACGTACGATCCGACGACGGGCTCGCAGACGGAATACAGCGTGAGCAAAAAGGTGCGCGTCCGCACGATGGAAACTTGCAGGTAATCGCATTGGTCCGGGTATTTGGATATTAGGGGACTTTTTTTTTAAGCCGACCATGTCGCGTAGGTTTATCGGCTGGCTGTTCATGTTGAACAAATTCAAGATGTCGCACACCGTCAAGAAAACGGTCAGTGGTTTACTGGCGTCGGGCGACGCGCACTGCCTGGAATGCCTGTGCGCACTGTTGCAGATAATCGGACCCAGATTTGAAATGGTATGCGATCGCACCACCCAGGGGCGGAACTAGAAGCGGCAGGAAGACGGGGTTTTATCGCCGGGAGTAAAATTTCCGTAGTAAATGATTTATTATTGACTGCTATCATAGTTTGATATTTTTAACTTAGTCACTGGTAATGTGTTTACAACTCAATACGTATGAAATGTATGTAAATTATTAGAAAAAAATTATAAGGAAGGGTATTTGATTCTTGGTAGGGCGTGTTTTTAACATTTTTCCCGTGTGTAAAAATCCCTAGTCTCGCCTCTGGATGCATCGTTGAGGTGTTTTTCGCATCAGTTTTATGTATTGCAAAAAACCGATCTATAGGATTTTTTCGTTGCATCTTTTTGCCGATTGTGTGTTTTCAGGTTGACCAAGTGTCCAAACATTGTTCAGCCGGAAAGGTGTATAAAACTCTTGAGAAATACGCTGGTAACGGCATGCAACCCGCTCGAACAGTTCGCAGGATTAACCGAATCATCCTAGAGAGAAACTACAATTGGCTCGTCCGGAAACCGAGTTCTCTACAATACCAGTATTGAACGTTTTTTTAGAGTAGTACGTACGACTGCGATCGTAATAATTCACTCCGACACGTGGCTGAAGTTGCTCGTTAGCGTTCCGCCGACTTTTTAAACGTAATCATCAAAACAATATAATCGTTTTATACAGTATCATCTTATAATTACAATATAGTAAAATATATTCCTTTTTGTCCATCATTACGGTTGATGTATTGAAACGATATGGATTCTGAAAACGCATTGGAATTCCGCATGAAATGCGAAGTTATACTTGAGTTTGAGGCAACATTTTTAGATTTACAATATTAATATCCATCGAACTTTATACCGATTTCAAATAATTCTTCAAAATCCTTATCGCTAAAATACATCAACCGTAATGATGGAAGATAAGGAATATACAGTGCATCAACGATAATTGAGAACTTTCAATATATTTGCGTAAAGACCTGCAGTTTAAATTTAGTTTTTTTATTTGATTTTTATTACATAAAAAAAAACATTTTTATAAACTTCGAATTTTTTTTTAACTTAATTGGACATACACATACAATTTTTTTTTCCATAATGGCCACCCCCTATTTAAACTACTAATTATTTTTTGCCCTTTTTTTTAATGAACTTTGGTAGCTTGACTAACTTTATAAGTCCAAAATAGATAAAAATTTAACAATTTTTTTATAAATTGCTATAACGTGGTCTATTTTGGACTTAAGAAGTTGATTAAGCTACCAAAATTCATAAAAAATTAGGCAAAAATAGTTAGTGATTAAAATAGATATTGTCCATTTAAGAAAAAATAGTTTTATGCGCTTGTCTTATCAAGATAAAAAAAATCGAAGATCATAAAAATTTGTATTTTTATGTGGAAAAATAACTAAAAAACATAATTCAAATTGCAGGTCGCTATGCAAGGATATTGAGTGTTTTCAGTTAGTGTTTACTCACTTTATTTTACCATATTTACGTGTAAAATAACTAGACGTCACAAAACGGTATCAGATGCTCTTAATTAAGTACTAAAAATAATGCCAATGTATCAGCTAAATAAACCTCAAGATTTCCTCTAGCTATAAGATAAGAGCGTATAAAATTATTATATTGTTTTGAAGAGTACGTTAGAAAAGCCGGTTGTACACCAATGGCCAGTTTATTCACCTAAGTCTATATGTCACTTATTATTATACTTGTACGTATTTTAAACTAAACTGTATAGCTTTTAAGACTCAATAAAAAGCGTGAGTTGTAAAATTAAAATTATTATTACTTATTAATATTTTAAAAATGTAATGTAACCGACTACATCATTACATTAATAGTCACAAAGCATGGTTATCTACGAGTGTTGAGTAGACCAAATAATCTAAAGTGTAGAACGTTGAGGTTGAGTATTATCAGTAGCCATTTTTCATAATCTCTGTGTGTACGCTTTCAACGATTAGGTAACGGATTTAAATGCTCAAAAAACAAGAAAAATACCTCAAAAAAATACGATTTAATGCACTCGTAACAGAAATTTTACAAAATGCATTAAAATTCGCATGTTTCCAGCACAACCAGAAATCAAAATACATACTAAGGTCATTGATATGCAAGACATATTTATGAAAATATATGTAAATAAAGTAGAGACTGTAACGATTGCGAAACAAAATAACTTCTCTTCCATGAAAATGTTTTTGTAAAACGGTCTGCTGTCACGTAGATCCCTGCATTACTTTTTCCACGGACGGCAGGGGCGCGACAAAAAATAGTATGTGCCGCACACGTCGCCCACGACTGAAATAACTTATTTTCCGCTCTTGCCACACGATGTACTATTTGACTTTGGAAAAATTCGTTTTGTTATTGTAAATTCTTGTTTTTATCAAATATTCGTCTTCTTTTATCTCTTATCTTTATTTCCGAAAAATCAATTTATAATCCAGATAGATTTATTCGTTATGGTTTCATCTAGTGTTTTAAATGAATACATGAACATTTTTGAATTTCAACTAAATTTTTATCGAATTCTATCAATTCTTATATAAAAATTACTTAAAAACATACAAATACAATAAAAATTTCAAAAAATGATCTGAAAGGTAAAAAAGGCTTAAAAACTCAAAATAAAAGTCCCTTTTTTTTTAATTATTTGATGGATGAAATTAACGTTCAAAAATAAATGCAATTTGCGTTCAAATCCGTTTCCTAGTTATTATGAATTATAATACTACAGTAGTACAATGAAAAAAAAAAAAAATATTATCACTGTTAAATGTATTGTAAATAAATAAAAATAAAACTTTTGCGGGTTCTTAGAACGTTTCAGCAACAAAAACTATAAAAATCTGGTCACATCTATGCTAATAAGATATCTGGGTATAATTTCTAAGTCCAGCCGAGTTTACACATCAATTGTTTTTATCTGAAAAAAATCGGTGCCGAGTTTACAACGGACCTTTTACAATATTTTTTTCCTCGGGCCGGTTACACAATCGCCCAAAGTTCACACGGCCCATATAGGACCGTATTTAAAGGGCGGTTCAGGAAAGCAATAGCCACCCAACATTTTTTAAGGGGATGGCAATATTTTGACTGCAACACTATCGCGCAATTTTTCCTTTTTTTACCCGACTAATAAACCACGATTGCGCCTCGATCCCTTTTTACTTGATAAAATCACAAAACCATTGCGCACCAAATAATAATATGTGTATATACTATGTATAATAATTTATGTACAACATAATATGATGTATACAATACATACTTTTTACATATAATTTTCTTATACACGCACTCAAACTTATGACCTATTAATTCGCAATTTTCCTCACCAATTATTTCAGGATTAGGACTATCAACAAATTATCATCGTTAGCTTGGTTAAAAGTTGTTTTCTTTTCTAAATTACATGTACGCTAAATGTTTATACTGACATGGTAAATAGTCTAAATTTTTTAATTAACATTTTTTTTTTTTTCTTTACTGATAGTCATTAGTCGATATTATTATAATAATTATTATTAGCTCAATCAACTTTTCATTTTGATTTTTAAGAAGTGCATTTTGTGAATTAATAGTTTGAGTGCATGTATATGCAAATTATAGGAAGTATGTATTGTATACATTATTTTATGTTGTACATAAATTATTGTACATAGTATATACACATATAATCTGGTGCGCAATGGTGTTGTGATTTTATCAGGTAAAAAGGATCGGGGCGCAATCGTGTTGCACCGTAATATTTATACGGTGATTTTTAAATAAAACCAAATTGATTTTTCGTATTCTCAAGGAAAAATTATTTATGAACAAATAAAATTATATAAAAAATAAACTATAAAATCATTTACATTATTTAGTACCGTCCAAAACTTAAATCTATTTAAGAGTATTTTACTTGACATGGTATTTTATTGAGATATGGGTATTGGTTTAATCTTGATTCATAAAGGATGGGACGGTCACATCGAAAGGTACTAAATTGTTTGAGGATATCACCATCAGTCTTGTAAAAGACAATTTTCTATAACTTTATTGATGTAATTATAACTCAATTATTATTCTGGATTTAATATTATATTCAGTGTTGTGCTTTAGATAAATTTATCTAGATGTGTTATCTAGATAAAAACTTCATATCGATATCTTATCTAGATAAAAAATAAAATTGACATATAATTTTCATCTAGATAAAAATAATAGCCATCTAGATAAATTTATCTAGATAATTCATAAAATCTGTAGCTAATCATTAGTAATACCTAATCTACAATTTTATCATTCAATATAAAATAAAAAACTAAATAAGAAATTTCATTTGTATATTTACTTGCAAAAATTGGTTCTAAAATAGTTTTACATAGCATTTATTATTAATTATGAACAATGACAATTTATTATGTATATAGACATATATTACCTACATAATATGCATCGGAGTGAGAATTATTTATAATTTCATAGTATGGCCCATACGGGAAGTCTCATGACCGTATTACTACTGTTCTGTGATATTATGAACGCCGAAAGAGCATTTACTAGAATATTAGAACCAAAGATGACGCACCATGGGTCTAAACTGGTTATTATTGCAGCTGCGCGGTTTATTTTAGTTTATAAATATTAAAATACAGAAATAATTGTCGATAAAAAAATAGCAATATTACAATACGCATTACGTTGTACCTACACAAAAATTGATCGTTCTCCATCATCATTCGACCGCCTTAAATTCAATATTTAATTATAAATTATGTCCATTGTTCATGTAATCATGTGCTCTAAATAATTGTCATTACCGGACCCCAATTCCATGAATTCGTACTTTGATGTGTCTACATATTATTGTACAACAAAATAAATATTAGGCGTGATACGTCCGTTATTTATTAAAAGCTTGTATTGTATGCAGCGTACTCTTATCCACAACTTGTTCAGTGTTTATCGTCAGACCGTCTTCATATTTTTCATAATTTTGTCTATGACTTTCAATTTTATTTTATTGATGAAATATTTTATATTTTGAAATGGATCGTTACATAATACAATCATTACCCAAGACCAAAAGAGTTCTCCTACAAACGGATGAAAACGTTGATGCCTTATACAAATATCTAGATAAAAATTATTTTATGTATCTATATCTAGATAAAAGTGATTTTATCTATCTAAATCTAGATATATTCAATTTATACAGTATCTATCTATATCTATATAATTTTAAATCCAGATATCTTATCTATATCTAGATAATTTTTTTTATCTAAGCACAACACTAATTATATTACAAAAATTGTGTTATATTGTACTGAAACGGGGAAAACACGAATCGTATCGGTCGGCGTGTATACCTCGACGTGGTGTGTGCGCAGACGGTTAGAAATAAGTTGTTCTTATCGTCCGCGTATCGGGTCCCGCGCGTCGTACGCTTTTAAACTTGTCCACCCGTCGTATGACGATTATAATAATAATTTTTTGATTCATTAGTAAAGTATTTTTGAAATTTTTCCACCCGTAGCCGTGCATAA